TGGCAGAGGCTACCCTGCCCTCAGGCTAGGATTTCTCTACAATTCAGCAGTATCTCAGCATTTCAAATGAGTATGAGAACTGTACGGCCCACGAAGCTTTAAAAATAAAACAGGAGACCAGCTCCATCTCTGTGTCTACAGTGCATAAGGAAGAAAATGAACAAAATTGCAACCTCTTACTGCTCTTTTGGCATTAATCATGACTTACCATCCTGAGTGGGTGAGTGTCTAATTAACCACTCATCAATCTCAAAGTTTTAAAAGCGCTGTCATTCCCCTCGGGCTGGAGATCTTCTGCCTACTTTCTGCTATTTGCAAGGCAGGAAATCTGTGTCTTGATGGAACTCACAGGAAGGGAAAGAAACTCCATGCTGCTTCTTTTTGGCCAAGCCACCTCCATCTGTCTACCTCCTCCATCTGCTCCCTTTGATCCACCCTGGGTGTGATTACTCCTTTGGCCTCTGTTCTACCCACAGCTCCTGAGGTCCAAGAATTTCAGTTCACACACCTCTAGCCAAATGTTTTTCTTGCTTCATAATATTTTTGGAGACATAGTTGCCCTAAGAATTCTTCCAATTATAACAAACTCCTGTCACTCTAACAATTTTTACACAAGCTGGGCTCTTATTAGGAGCTCTTCAGGGTCTAGTATTGCTGCCCTCCCTTGTGTTGATGTAGTAATGTATTTTGGGGTACAAATGTATGGATTTTTCTGCAGCTGTGTCTTGATGGGTCATGTGCTACAAGAGAAGACTTCTTGATTTTTCTGGCTAACACAAGTATTATTACTCAGAACTTTATATGTCTACATGATTTCATATTAATAGTACTGGCTCATTCCCATAACACATCTGAAAGACATTTTTTAAAAGTGTAGACTTTGATGGAAAAGTCCATAACTTATTCTAAGCATTTTGGATCATATTCAGCAGTGAGTAGATAAGGATTTACCACCCGCATGTTTGAGATTCAAAGCTTGACCCAGTAAACCATATATGTCACCCTGTGAACAGAACTGCACAGTCTTTGTTCCTGAAATTTTGATTTTAAAATATGTTATAGAATTTTTATTCTTGGTTTAAAATTCAGTCTTTCATTAACATTTTAGAGATTAAATTCTAAGTAAAGTACAACAAAGCTACTGGAGGTAATGAGTGAGTCTAGAAAGATTGTAGGATTAAAGGACAATATATGAAAAATACATTCTATGAATAGACAACTAGAAATTGAAATGATAAAAGGTAGTACTATTTACAACATAATCAAGAAATTCCTAGGTACTATCAAGTACGTATATGTAATATCCGTATGCTGAAAACCAGAAATAACTGGTGGAAAAAGCAGAGACCTAAACAGATAGACATATATTGTTTTTAGAACAGAAGAGTAAATATTAAGGTACCAGTTCTTTCCAAACTAATATACAGATTCATCACAATTCAAATCAAAACCCCAGTGAGATTTTTAAAATAGATACTGACAAGCTATTTTTAACATTTATGTGGAAATGCAGAGGAACTAGAATAGCCAAAACATCCTGGCAAGGTAAACAAAAGTTAGAGGACTCACTATTGAATCCCAAGACTTATTTAAAGCTAAATAATCAAGGCAATGTCAAATTGATGAAAGGATAGACACATAAATAAGTAGAGCAGATCTCAGCTGCTAGAAACACATACATATATGGTCAAAGCAAAGAGCATTGTCTAGTCAACATGGAACTGAAACAATTGAGTATTTTGGATATTAATATGCAAAAAAATGAATCTTGATCCACACTTTGCATATTAACCAACTCAGAATAGATCATGTATAAATACAAAAGTTATTAAATATATAAAAGAAAATGTAGGAAAAATAATCATGACCTTATGTTAAGCAAAGACTTTAAAAACATAAAATAATAGATAAATTAGACTTTAGCAAAATTGGAAATGTTCATTGTATGAAGGATACTGCTAAGATATTAAAAAGACGAGAAATGGACCAGCAGAAAATAGTTTTAAAACATATATGTATATATACACTATATATATAGTATATATAATAGTTTAAAATATATATACATATATATCTCCCTCAGGGATTGAACCCAGGGGTGCTCAACCACTAAACCACATCCCCAGCCCCTTTTATTTTTTATTTTGAGATAGAGTCTTGTTAAGTTGCTTATCTCCTTGCTAAGTTGCTGAGGCTGTCTTTGAACTTGGGATCACCTCCAGAGTAGATGGGATTACTGGCATGTGCCATCATGCCCAGAAAACATTTTAAAACATATATGACAAAGGATTTGTATCTAGGACAAAAATCTATCAAGTCAACAATAGAAAACAAACAATACAATTAAAAATGGGTAAAAGTTTTTAAAATTATTTTACAAAGAAGATAGATGTCAAATAAGTACATGAAAATATATTCAATATTATTAGTCATTATGAAAATGTAAAATACATATGTAATGCAAATTAAAATCAATGCAATAATATTAGAAATCTGTAAGAAAGTCTAAAAACAAAACAAAAACTGGCAATAATGAAGTATAGCACAATTATAACTCTCATGTATTGTTGGTGGAAATATAGAAGAGTAGGGTAACTTTGGAAATATTTACTGGTTTCTTAAGTTAAAAACAGATTTGTCATATGGTCCCCATAGTTTCATTCCTAAGATTTTATTCAAAAGAAATGAAAACTTATGCTCACTCAAAAACTTGAATATGAATGTTCAGAATGCCTTTATAATCATCCCAAACCAGCATATACCCAAATATACTTCAACTGGTGAATAGATAAACAAACTGTGGTATATCCATACACTCAGAAATGAAACAGAATGAACAACTAAAAAAACATAACAACATGAGTGAATCTTAAATGCGTTACACCAAGGGAAAGAAGACAGGCTAAAAAGGCTACATACTGTTTTAATTTCCTTTGTATGATACTCTGGTAAAGGGAAAGCTATAGGCAGAAAAAAATAAATCAGTAGTTGCCAAGACTGGAAGTAGGGGTAGAAGTTGACAATTAGAACCAGGGTACTGGGGGGTGATGGAGCTATTCTATGTCTACACAGTGGTGGTGGTTTTATATGACTGTAGGCATTTGTCAAAACTAAAAAAAAAAATGTGCACTAAAAATAGTGAATTTACTTTATATATACACCATACTTTAATTTAAGGAAAACACTCCATGTATGTATGATGTAAAATACACTCTACTGCCATATATAATTAAAAAGAACAAATAAAAAATAAATTTAAGAAAAACATTAAAAATTTCAATGAGAAAAAGGTAATGTAATATAACTTAAAAAATAAAACTTTTCTTTCTTTTTTTTTTTTTCAGTGCCAACTAGCAATTAACATGCTCAGCGAACAATAAGAGGAAACACTGAGGTTGAGGTACTGCCTGAACAGTACTGAGTGAAATGAATGCTTCTGAAGAGGAATATGCTCCTGCATGGCGGGTTCCTTTAACAAGAAGACAGAAAAAAAACACTTTTCCAATTCATTACCTTTAAAGAATCACAACCAAATCATCCATTCAACTCTCAAACTCTCAAAAATAGCATTTTGTGTTTATTTGTTTTCTAGTTCAAATAGCCTGTTCCTGTTCCTGTTCCAATTTATGAAGAGTTCTTAGCTCTTCTACCTGACCAGATTGTTATCTTGAACTTGAGCAAACTTACAGTATTGCTTTCTTGAACATTCAAAGATATTTTTAAATACAAATCTATTTTCTTTTCACATAGGAACCATGAAGTGACTGACTTGTGATCACAAAAATATTTATGTCAGAAGATTTAGCAATCCTAAAAATAAGATGATTTTACATACTTCTAATGTGCGTTGGTTTCTCCTAATGTTGACAAGCTTTGGTCATTATTATTTTCCCCTCACACTACCATCTTTTGTATGCTAATGCAGAATGTACTAGAAAGAACCCTGCACTGAAGGTCATTGATATTGGATTTAAGGTCCTTTCCAACTTGTAACAAGCTATACAACCTTAGTGAAATAACTTATTGCTCAATAACTAATACTCACCTCCAACTCTGACCTTTCTCCAGTGCCTTCATTAGGAAATTTCAGAGTCTTACAGACAAAGATCTCCTCTTATGCAGAATATAGATTATATTGAATGCTTTAGTACCTAAACAGTAAAGTTACTTATTTGTTCATGTATTCATACCTCACTTATTTCACTAGGTTTCTCCAATTCCACTATAAAGTGTTTAAGAGGAGAGAATTATTCACACATACATCTTTGTCTCCTATAGCATCTATCACACTGCAAAATCTTCAATATGCTGGTTTGCTGATGATATAATTATTTGGCTTTAGATTTTCTAATTTAATATAGTCAAGTGTGACAAACTCATGGAGGTTTCTAGAGCCTTTCCTGACTACTCATGCTACGGCCACCCCTATCATTTCCTCCCACTAACTCATCTATGTCTTCCAACTTATGCTTGTATCCTCATCCTATTTTACTTTTCGGGGGGTGGTGGTACTGGGGATTGAATTTAGGTGTACTCTCCCAGTGAGCCACATCCCTAGCCCTATTTTGTATTTTGTTTAGAGACAGGATCTCACTAATGTAGTGCCTCGCTAAATTGCTGAAGCTGGCTTTGAACTTGCAATCTTCTCATCTTAGCCTCGAGAGCCATTGGGTTTACAGGTGTGCGCCACTATGCCTGGCCCTATTTTACTTTTAATAGCATTTAACACATTCGGAAATAACCTTTCCCCTTCTTTCTCTCTTCTCTTCCTTTTTCCTAATCCAGTGTCTCCGGTTTCCTACCAGAATTTAAGTTCCATGAAAACATGAGTTGATCATGCTCACTGTAATATACTCAGAAACTTGATCTTGTCCAAAACATAATAGGGATAATAGGTACATAATACATATTTACTGAATTGTTAAACTTGTTCCTCAATTTAGTGATACCTACTGGAGGCTGACCAATAGAAAGAAAGAAAACTACTTCACATGATTTACCTGCAAAGAGGTTCTACAAGGTCCTTTTCAAGAAAATCATGATCATTCTTGACACCCACAATGTTGATGGGAAATTGTGAATCTGAGGGAGAAAAAGGGAGAGACAAAGAGGTTCATGCGCCTTGTTTTATCTGAATGGGTACCAACATATTCGGGTCACTAAGGTCTGTACAAGCCACAAAATTTAATAGCAGTTAGGATCAATTACCACTGTTGGTGTTGTTTAATATAACAGATAATTTTTATCACAGTGAATGCTTTTGAGAGTACAATATAAATGTGAAATATGAGAATAATCAAGTGTTTGACCTTGGGTAGAATTAAATACTAAGTGCCTACATTTTTATAGCTTATCCTTATTATAGACATCCTGAGGCCGATTAGGGCTTGGAGGAGAGCTTTTATACCCTCACCAGCCTCCTAAAGTGTAGGTCACTGACTTCTGTCCTAATGATTTCATGGAATGCTTAGTATGGCAGATTTTCTTTTTTCCTTCAAAAAGGACATTTCCCAAAATACCCAAAGTTCAATGGACTCAAATGTTTTCTTTTGTAGCAAAATCTTGAGTCACTGTGAAGTGCAAGTAAAATGCTTAAACAATTGATTCTATCCAAAGAGAAGGAAAATTTTCAATAATATGATTTTTCTCCAACAGACAATCCATGCCAGCTTTGAAGGTCATGATAATCTTCCGAAACATGGAATTTATTTTAATCAACTTATTGATGTAGGTAAAAATCAGGAGATCATTAGGCATAGAGATCATCATCAATTTTAACAATGTTGGTTTATTCTTTTTCATCTTATATTCTGTACTGCCTATACCTTGTCAGTCATGATAAACATATGGTATCTAAATCTCAGTGTGCACTGGAAACAGAAACAATTTCTCTTCTGTCAAAATAATAATAATAATAATAATAATAATAATAATAATAATAATGTGGTGTTTGAATTCCAGATGGTCCCAGAATGAAGACTTGTCTCATTCTATCAGCAAGTGTGTTGTAGTAAGGAGTAGACACTGACCCCAGTGGTCCTGCTTTGAGTTCTGATTACTTCTTAGCTATGAAACTGGGGGCAAGATATTTACCTTTCTTTGGGCCTCTGTTTCCTCATCTATAAAATGGTGATGATGATAATTATAATATCCACCTCATGGCATTGTTGTGAATATTAACACATAATATAAGTAATGTGCTCTGAAGAATACTTGACACATAGCTTTATAGAATTACTTGGTCTTGTTACATTTAGTCTATACAAGTGTCATAAACCAAATCAGAGAGGCACATGTAACTTAGGAGCTAAGCTATCTTTACCTCTTAGATATTTATAGAATCTTTAACATTTAAATCTCATTGTATTTTAAGTTTATAAGAGATTGTACATTATAGAAAATATGCTCATTAAGGATCAAGGATTTTAGTTTTGACAGCTCCTCTTTGGAAATGCCATTTAAGCTCAACCTTAAGCTTCTCATTCCTCATTAGTAAACTGGTGAAAATGGGAGTGAGGGAGAATTGCACAAACCATTTAAACCTTAGAAGATTGTTCCTTGTCTAAAAGGTGACAATGCTATGAAAACTTACCAGAGATCCTAGACCACAAACACATGCAGAAATAAGCTCTCCTTTATCTTTTAAGAATTTAAGTGAGAGAAGTAAAATGCTCTGTTTTTAATATAAAACTGAGCTTCCAGATGAAGGGATAAAGTTGCCTCTAAGTAAAAATTAATTTTGTTGATTATTTTCATTCTACACAAATTTCATGCCATCAGGAGAGAAGTCAGCAATGTTTAGTGTGCTGGGTATCCTCTGGGTAGTCCTGCAGACCTACCCTCCATTTCTGTTTCTCTGTGCCCTGCTTTGTGCCCTATTGGGATGTATGACATCCCAGGGGACCCATGGCCTCTGGCTTCCTTTCATGTTTGATCAGTGGAAAGCCCTGACTGGAGTCTGAAAGAGGAGCCTGAGGTCAGGATAGTTATCCTCTGGTTCTTGACAATGAAGGCTGCCCAGGGCCAGCTGTGTGCTCCCAGGAGTCTCTTCTAGTCTCCTCTCCCCTGGGCTCTGGCACCATTCCTTTCCTGCTTTGGGTTTGGTATGACAGTTCTGTTGCACTGCTCCTCATGGATTCCATATCCTGTCCACACCTTTGTAATGAATCCATTAGCAATAATCCTTTGCAGATGAGCTCGACTATGCCATTTGTTCATTGCTTGGTTCCTTACAAATACACTTCAAATAAGGACCATTCAAGAAGAAGTTAAAAGCTGTGGTTATTTTTTTATATATGTAGAGGTGAACAGAAATTACAAACCAACTAATTCTGAGACTTCTCTAAGAAGTTTTAACAACCGCTTTATTGCAGTTTTAAGAAAATGAGCATAGCAGAGAAAAAGCTAGGGAAAAAGTACGGAAAAGCTGCTGATGGCAAAACACTGGAAGGAAAACAGATGTGGGGGTTTCTGGTAAAGAGATGAGCATTGTAGTGGGAAGCAGAAAGAAACTGGGCTTTGGAAGAGATTCTCATTTCTAAGTTGGTATCAGGACAAGCCTTGAGCATTGCAAAAGCTGAGGGGACAAGAAAGCAAAGCAAAACAGTAAAAGACCTGGAAAATAAAACGATCCATGTGGTTCATTTTGAATTTTATTCTCTTTGTAAAGAACAAAGAGAAGGGCTGAACGTACCTTCGTATAACTGTGCATATTGTGGGAACCCAGCAGCCCGCAGCCAGTCACATGCTTCCTTTGCCTCAATTTCTGAAAAATATGAGAAAAAGAAAATTGTGAGTTCAACAGGCACACCCCAGCACTCTGTCTCCTTCATTGAGAGGATGCTAGTGAGCTTTGTGCAAGTTGTTACAAGGCAAAATTGTTCTCAGGTAAGTCTGTATAAGTTGCCCCATCCCAAAATGGGCGTAAAATGAGCAGACAACATAAAGGACCTTGTTATATAAAGTTATCTTCACTGCAGATCCATAAGTATGGAGGTAATAACAAAACCACAGAAGACAGAACATAAAGGTTGAGTTTCAGGCAGGCAAAAATATCTTATTATACACCAGGGAACCAGGGGAGTAGGTAGGAGGAAGGAAGACTTCTTTATAATCCTCTTTTTAATGGCTTTGTTTGAGCTTCCAAAATAAGGTTAAGGGTATTTATTCAACATTCCTTTATTCTTTCACTCTTGGAATAATGAAAGACCACAACTGGGTAGTCTATGAAAATGTATTTTTCTTATGAAGGGAGGTATTACAAAAATCCAAGGTATTATTATTCCTTTAATTTCACTGATGGCTTTAATTCCCAATGCATTTTAACAAGATGTTCATTCATCAAGCAAATTGGAATGATTTCAAGCTCAGAGTGCGTGCGGCATGGAAAAGAAAATGGAGACTTGAGTTTGATGGGGCTACTAGAATCTCTGGGGGCCAAGCCCAAAGTGTTATATCCTTCAGGCAACCATTGAAGGGTCACCCAAAGGACCACCCGACCACCTGCCTGGGAAAGCTGTGGTGTGAGATGGGAGGAGTCCAGTGTGTGAATCAGGTCACTGTTCGACCTTATGAATCCTGGAACACTTCCCAGCCATAACTCTGTTAGATAAACATGACTCTGAGGGAAAAGAAATTCATCTGTCAAAAGTCCAGTTTCTCCAAACAAAATCAAACAGCTGATTGTAACAGGTCTCTACCAAGGAGCTTCCTCTGCTGTTGGGATGGGCCCACCTCAGGTCAGTGCATTTCCATTTACTGTGATGTTTGGTTTCCCCAGAGCCAAAGCTGGAGAGTCCAGGGCCTTCTTAGGACCACTGTGCAGAATCCATCTGCACTAACATTGGCCACGGGCTTGAGACTGTACGTCTATGTTGAAAGCTCAGTATCTGTATGGTATAATGTTTGATATGACAAAGACATTTGGTATATATGTTAGGAAAATAGACCAAAGTCCAGTTCTTACTCTCCAAAACAAAGAGCAAAAGTTATATCTCTGACCCACTGATCTGGTTAGACCTAGATTGAAATTTGTCAGTAAATCAGGGAAGCAGAGCCTTTGGTGATTCCTGCCCCAAAGAGCTTGTTCCTTTGGCATTCCTTAATCTGTTGTCACCCCGGGAACTGACAATTTCTAAATTTGAGTTCTATCCCTGATGTGTGACCAGCACAGATCTATCATGTTCTCATTCCTGCCACATACATGTTTCAGAGGATACCAAGTTGGAAATAAAAGCTTTGGAAAATATTTTTACTAAGAGGAGAGTCTCTGTTTCACAAAGGCTGTTCAAACCAGCGCTTTGGCTACATAATGCTGCACTGGCTAACCTGTGCTTTCCCTGTGGACGGTGCACAGGGCAATTCATGTATTGCCTGCAGGTTCTATTCAGTACTCGTTTGAGAATCCTTATGTGAAGGCTTTTACTCTGATAATCACAGACTATTTCACAGTAACTAGAAAAGGCACCTTCTATTTGTTACACTTAGAAAATGTAGTGAGTCTCTACTGAGTCGTAGATAAATTGATGCCCTATAAATTTTCAAGCTTGAGATTTGCTTTCCGCTTCAATATGATACAGTGGGTAATAATGAGAAAATATCTAATTTCTAGACATGCTTTAAATTTGGTTATGTGACAGCAAACTTTAGAGAGAAGCACAGAATTTTGTATTTTCTATTTAAATTACATCAATACTTTGTCTTTTTCTATTTAATTATCACTTTTACTATGATCAAAATGTAGTGTTAAACAAGAGAATTTGAGAGAGCCAGGCCATGAAGAACAAATGGAGGGGACCCAGAAGATAGGGGCTATACAACACAGAAGCTCAAAGGAGATCAGAAAGTGAGAATAGGAATCAGTATGCACTCCACCAGGCTGGGGATGGGAGGGATGACAAGGTGGAGAGAAATGGACAGCCAGGGGTCTTTCTAGAAAAACTTTTGGAGCTCAAAACTCTGGTTGGGCAGTGGGATGGGGCTGAGGCTAGATCGGGAGAGGCAGGAGTTTTTCAATTTAAAATGAAATGATAATTTCATTTCATTTTTCCCCCAAACAAAAGCAACATTGATAATGAATTGAAATCTTAAAATCTTATTCATATACAAATATGAATAACTAAATCTTCACCAGAACCTAGATAAATCAATTGCTCAATGGGCTTGTTTTTTGTTTGTTTTTTAAATGGGTAGGCATTTATTTTTTAGGTCTGAAAATCAAATGGCAACAGAGTAACTCTAAAACACTCCCCCACACTTGAGCTCCTTGAGCCATTGCTCCCACACTTAATTACCGTCTTTTTAAGAAGTGTCCCTCAAACACATGCCATCTTTCCCATTCCCTTATAAGACCCAACTATATGCTACCTTCCAAAGACATCTTGTCTTAGTTGAAGGCAAAACAAATCTTATTTACTGGTCAGTGACGAAACAAACAAACAAAATTACCTGGCACAATTAACCACTCTCAAATTTGATTTTGTATATGAAATTGAGTTGGAGGCTCTTGCAATTTCTATTGATACCCTACAGTCCCTACTAGCACCTATCAGCCAAACACTAATGTTTTCCCCAGGCCTGTTATAGTGGCCCATACAGAAAAATTAAAAAGGAATCATATTGCCAGTGTCATCATTTCACAAAGATTTACCTAATGAGATTTAAATGACATTTGAGGAGAAAAGTATGAAAATCTTTTTTTAATGTGCTCTTGTTAGCCAGCATCATATTACATAAAAGCACTAACAGCTATTAAAATCACATTTTAACAATTTAATTTGTTTTCCATTTAACCATTACCTGCCCTGTAGTAGCTCCGGGGTTACAAGGCAGAGCATCAACTCATTGAAACTTTCTTGCTGAAAACCTGAGTTATGGAGTGGAACTAGAGAATGCCACTGGACAGAGGAGCCTGCAGATCTCTATGAATGTTACTGTGCTATAGTAGTTCTCCCTTATACATGGGAATATGGCCTAAGACTTCCAGTGAATGCCAGAAACCCTATATCAAACATGGCATATACTATGCTTTTTGATCTAATAACTGAGATGCCAACTAAGCAACTAACAGGCAGGTAGCTTATATAGCATGGTTATACTTGGACAAGAGGCCAATTCATATCCCAAGTGGGACAGAACGAGATGGTATAGGACAGTAAGAGATTTCATCATGCTGCCAGGATAGTGTACAATTTTAAACAAATGAATTGTTTATTTATGGCACTTTCCATTTAACATTTTCTAACTGAGGTTGACTCTGAGTAACTAAAATTGTGGAAAGTGAAATTGTGGGTAAGGAGAGGGGACAATTGTACTTTGCTGGGGAAAATGCTATTCATTTGGCTGGTTATTATGACAGCATTTCAACAGAAGTTTTGTAATTAGTCATTCCATTTTGGTTTATAGTAGGTATCTGTTTTTGCCTGCTCAACATTCTTCCCTGCTTCTCCTGATAATAGAACCTCTCTATGTGAGGAACATCTTTTGTATGGTTTAAGAGGGGGTGAGAGCTCTTGCCCCCCACCACATACTTGATCTTATAACCACTACCCACCTGAGAATGTCCTGCTTCTCTAAGCATCATCTCTCTGCCTTTAGTCTATGAAGATTAAGGAGCTTTGGGACCTTAGGTCAACAGTCATTTGGGAATGAAATCAACTGGTTGAAAGGGGGAACACACAGCTTTTCACTTGGTGGCTTGATCTGCACAAAAATCAAGCAATCCTTTTCATTTGGTTTACTCACAAATTCAGTAGGTGGTTTGGTGCTAGGCACAATTTCCTGCCACCTGTCTGCCATTCCACTTGAGGCAAAGTCACTGTTTTGCCTCAGTTACTTTTAACTAAACCTAGGAGCAAATTTGCTGTATTCAATTTAAATTCTTATCTGATTGACAGCCAGCTGATTAGAATAAAATGTGAACCTGATTGACAGCAGTTGCTCAGAAAATGACATTACCTTTATTCAAAGACAGACCTGGTAAGGGAGGCTAACTCACTAGAGCCTGAGGGAGGGGACATTCCTATGGGCATGAGAACAAAGCCACTACGGAAACATACCCGGGCCAATGATATGTTTTTACAAAGCATTATCATGTTTCTTAATTATACATGTTCAATTTTAAAAGCTTAAAAAGAAAATTCTGAAAGTCACAATAAAAGGAAAAAATCAACTCCTGTCCCATTACTAACACATAATTTGATGTATGTTGTCAAAGTGGTAATATGGTAATAATATCTTAGGTTGACTGCTTTTTTTTTTACATAATTATACATCGTGAATATTTTCCCATACAATGACATTGTTTATAAAAAAAAGAAAATTTACTTTGTTTTGGGAATGATGCTTATTTTTAAAATATTTGATTTTTGAATAACGCCAAATTGTATTTTACTGCTGGGAGGATGTAACATGAAGGGAGCCAAGAAAAAATACTTCAGCAAGACCTTCTCAGTGCAGAAGGCTGAGATTTACACCCTGTTTCTTTAAAGAATTCTTTAAAGAATTGTTAATTTAGTGATTTTGGATATGAACAGTTGAATGCACAGAGCTCAGGAGGACCTCAGTCAAGTAAGGAATTATATTGAGCACAGAAAATTTGCAGGCCAGGTTTGCAAGCTGTGTCTCAAGTTACAATCTCATTGTATTTTTAAACTGGTGCTTCTGGCATGCTTCAGAACAGTGTGTTCTCCTAGCTGAGCATTTTAAGTACATTTTGGTTTATATTATTCTCTGCATAGCAAATACATTCTTCCACAGATAACCCAA